TCTCTCCCTCTCTCTCTTTCCCTCCCTCTCTCTTTCCCTCTCTCCCTTTCTCTCTCTCACTCTCTTTTTCTCTCTCTCTCCCTTTCTCTCTCTCTCTTTCCCTCTGTCTCTCCCTTTCTCTCTCTCTCTTTCCCTCTTTCCCTCCCTCTCTTTCTCTTTCCCTCTCTCTCTCTCTCCCTTTCTCTCTCTCTCTCTCTCTCTCTCTGTGGAGTCCTAAGGTCATTCCTGCAACTGCTCCGGAAGCGTAAGCCAGCTTAGAGGGGCAAGAGCCGGCCTCGTTTATTGGCTCCCTTAGAGGAGGAAGCTTCTTCCCGGAGTCTCTCCCTGACTTTTTTTCGGAACGCCCACTGGAAACAGCTTCCAGTCTCTGATGTGACACTTGAACGCACAGATAACCTCGTTCCACGCTGGGGTATCTCTTTTTTTTTTTTTCTTTTCTTCTCCCCCTTCAACCATCACTTCGCCCCCAAGTGGGGAAGGGGCTCTGTTCTGAAAACCCGTGCTTGAGCCGTCTTCTTTTTCTTGGCCGCTGAGCTTTTGGAGGAGGTCGTACGCGGCGGCAGCTCTTTGCGTGAGAAGTTGACTGGAGTTCGGCAGGCTTCCCTGCCGGGAAGAGGAGGAGGAGGAGGGGAAGCTACGAAGTGGGGCAGGGCCCTGAGCCTCCACTCAGCTGGTAATTTCCTCTTCTTCGTAAGCAGCAGCAGCAGCGGCAGCGTGTGGGTCAGATGAAGTCAGGGAGAGCGGAACGTCGAGCCTTGTGGGAGACACCTCTTTGTCATCCTGAGTCCCTCGGGGGGTCTTTTCTGAGGAAACAGAATTAGGATTTCCAACTCACTCGTAGCTTCGTGTTCTGTCGGGGGCATTGTTTTTCTCCGCAGCGTCTTGCGTTCGGCTCTCTTTGCTCTTGGGTGGGAGGAAGAAGCTTGGTGGTTCAACTTTTGTTTCAAAACCTTTTCTGCTTTCTGTCTCTCTTGTCGGCGTAAGCAATACTGTAACGCCGTGCCTTAAGAGACACTGATTTTGGATTTAACAGGGGGAAATGAGAGACGTTGGGCATTAATAAAAAGTAAACAATCGCTTAGAATTTATGGTAGTATTTTTTTTTTTTAACCAGTTTCTATGGGGCCGCTTCCTCCGTTTCAATTTGTTTGGCTCCTACTGAAATTTTGCCGTGTGCTGCATGAGGCCAGTGGGGCAGCAGAAAAGGTTTGCCAAAGCGAGCAAAAACCTTGCCCCACCCCAGTCTTCCGCGATCAATCGCAGCAATGCATTTTGTTCCTGCCAAGGGTTTTTCAAGCTTGCCAGGGGAACCTCGAAAAGCAGGTATTCAGGTTCCTGTTGAAAACAAGAAGGAAATTTCCCAGGCTGTCGAATTCAGCACCCCGTACCAACTTCTGTAATGCATCTTTAAAAATGGGCGAGGAGTGTGATTTAATCAGGAAGTCCCCATCGTTTTAAGATAAAAGTTTATGCGGCATGAATATATTCGTTTCCAGGGTCTTTTATTTTTAGTATGTGTTAGGGAGAGTAATTAAGGCAGCTGTCTTGAAACACACACACACACACACACCCCTATATAAAGGGAGGAGGGTTTCATAGAAAGTTTGATTTGATTGCTAAAACTTTAATTTTTGAATTGGTTTGATGGCTCCTTTTTTTCCTCATCCAAAGCAAGCAAATTATAATAAAACTTTAAAGCAAAAGTCCAGTAGTGTGGGGGGTGGGGTGGTGGTCAGCATTTTGGGTTCCACTGAATTAAATAGACAAAAGGAAAATAGAACAGGAATGTGCTTGTTATATTAAAAAAAATATCACGGAAAAAGGGTGTAGACTTTTTCATATGAACATTGTAATTTAAACAACTGATTGATTAGTCATAAGGTCTCTTCTAGTATAGGTCTACTACTCTAAATCTTAGTCATAAGGTCTACTCCACAACTGAAGGCCCTCCAGAGGTGTTGGGACTACAATTCCCAGAATCCTAAGCTGAAACGGAGCACACCAAGATGACCCCAAAATGGTGCCTTCCCTTTCCAAGCCAGAACAGTAGTGTTTGAAAATTCCGACAATTGATATTTGCATATATGGACCAAGGTTAAAGAAAAGGCATTTTTAGAGTTTTGGTGCTTTTTCCATCTTTTTTTCCAAGATACCAGGAATTGAATTTGGGGTTTTGAGCCTGCAGAGCCTCTGTTCTGCTCTTGAACCATAATATAGCATGGAGACAGTCTAACAATGTGTGACATCAAACTAAAGAATTCTCTGGGATGGAAACATTGAGAGGGATTATATAATGCAGATGAGGTTAGGGGAGGTTCTTTTGCACTCAGGAGAAATTGATTTTTGCTGTGAAATTCCTAGTAAGACCAATGCTGGGACAAGAAGTACATTTTAAATATGTAGGAATGTTTGGTTACCAAGATGACCTCTGAGTAGCTTCACCAGGTGGGCCATGCATAATTCCCAGGTTGTCAACCCAGAATGTCTATGACTAAAAGAGCTGCTAGCTTTTGGTTACTTTTAGGGTGAGGTCAGGCTGTAGTTTCAGATCCTGGGCTTCCTAGTTCAACCTCTTACCTGCTTTACAGGAGCTGCACATTTTGGATTTCCTTTGGGCATGGGACTAAGTCTGTATTTTAAAAAAACCCATTCCCAATAGAACTATAAAAAACTGGAGAAAAAAGGGGGGAGACTACAGGGAGTCCTTGACTTATGACCACAATTGAGCCCAACATTTCTGTTGCTAAGTAAGACACCTGTGGAGTATGTTTTGCCCCATTTTATTATTTTTCTTGCCGCCGTTGTTAAGTGAATCGCTGCAGTTAACCTAGTAATACGGTTGTTAAGTGAATGACTTCCCCATTGACTTTGCTGATCAGAAGGTTATAAGAGGGGATCACATGACCCCGGGACGCTGCAACTGTCATAAATGTGAGTCAGTTGCCAAGTGTCTGAATTTTGATCGTGTGACTATGGGGATGCTGCGACGGTCATAAGTGTGAAAAACAGTCTTAAGTCACTTTTTTCAGCGTCGTCGTAACTTCAAACGGTCACTAAATGAACTGTCGTAAGTTGAGGACTACCTGTACGGTCGGGCCTTGCTTGATTCTATATACCTAGAATTTAGTGAGCCACTGCCAAACAAAGAAGATAGCAATAGTACTTAGACTTATATAACACTTCACAGTGCTTTTACAGCCCACTCTAAGCGGTTTACAGAGTCAGCCTGTTTGCCCCTAACAATCTGGGTCCCCATTTGACCGACCTCGGAAGGATGGAAGGCTGAGTCAACCTTGAGCCTGGTGAGATTTGAACTGCCAAATTGCAGGCAGATGGCAGTCAGCAGAAGTAGCCTGCAGTACTGCATTTTAACCACTGCGCCACTTTAACGCTGAGCAAGATTCATTTGAACAAAAATTCACATCCGATTCTCTTCTAATCTTAGTTCTGGGACAAAATGATACATTTAGAACATAGTAGGTTTGACTCCAGTTCCTCCAGTTACAGCATGTCAGACAGCCACAAAGGGCTGCTGGCAGATGAAGTGCAGTACACTTAGACCTTGAGTTAACAACCGTTGGTGTAGCACCCATTTGAAATTACAGCAGTACTGAAAAAAGTGTATTGCAACCAGTCCTCGTACTTAACAACTGTTGTAGCATCCCCACAGTCACGTGATTAAAATTTGGTCACTTGGCAATCGACATGTAGTTACAATGGCTGCAGCATCCCGGGATGATGCAATCACCATTTGTGACCTACCCAACCAGCTTTCCCACTCCTCCGTCAAAGTCAGTAGGGAAAGCCAGATTTAACAACCGTATGATTTGTTTAACAACCAGGGCCAAAAAAAGGGGGGGGTCAGAAAATCAGGCTTGACTTATTTAACAACTGCCTTGCTTAGCAGTATAAAATTCTGGTCTTAATACTGGTTGGAAGTCAATGCCTACTTGTAAACAGCCTCAATGATGCCATGGCTTGACTAACTAAGCATCATAAATCACAATAGAAAACTTCCTGCAATTTGAAGTAGGGCTTCTGTTTGGAAGAAGTGAACCCCAGTTCCTGTACTTTTGGGCCATGAATTCAGTGGATAGCTTTTTCAGCCATTGGATTTTAAATAGTCAATCCATGGATTTTGGGGGCAGAGGCATTAAAAAAAAATCTATTGTTGATTTCAGGAGGTTGAAACTAGGCAGTAAAAGTGATAATCCAATCTGCAGTGAGCTAGTTTCAAATCATGTAGCTTGTACTTTATTTCTGCTTTTGCACCATCACTCTAGCCACTTACTAGCGTAAGGGAACCAGGATATTCAACATCCTCTTTGTCTTCTTGATAGGTTCTTTGACTTTCGATCACCCTGCCAAAAGAATTATACGGTTCTTCCTTCAGAACTCATGAACATCCAGAGCAGGTAGGTACACCTTCTATATATACTCTGTGTGTGTGTGTGTGTGTGTGTGTGTGTGTGTGTGTGTG